GAGGTGATGGTGGTGGTGCCAGTTGTCCGCAGCTGGATTAACCCTTTGTCTGGATTAAACTGATGACCATTTGGATCGATCTAGGATTTCTTGGTGTTGTTGCCATTGTTGCCATAACAACACATCTTGAAGGCGGACCTACTTGGAAGCACTTTTGTTGAGTTTTGGAAGATTGCGTGACGGACTCAAACCTGTGACCACGCCACTATGGCAGCCGAGGAAAGGCTGCTATGTGGCTTCTAACGTTGAATAATTCTGTCTGACTTTATTTTGTCACATAGAGGTTTATAATTCTGTAAATTACAATAAAAGAATTTAAGTTTCGTTTCTTCGTTTCACACCATAAAGAAAATGGGAAGATTACTTCCACATTAAACTCCAGATGTTCCAGAATCACATCCATCACGATTATGTACGCGCCTACAATTAAGATTGTTTAATTAAGCGTCACCCAATAGTGTCCCTGCTCGTATAAGGTGGAGACATTTGTGCTGAAGACTGGCAAAAACGCACAATCACTCTTATCTGTGATCACTGTGGATCTGCTACTTTTCACAAGTCTGGGCTAACTTTAAAAAAAGAAAGTAACTGATTATATAATTACATAAATTTAAAGTTAAAAATAAATGTGAAAAATAGTTGCATCCTCATGACATCACAGAGAACAGTGACGCTAATGAGGGCGCTTTCAAAGATAGCAATACAAACGGGTGTAACCTTTGACCCCTTTCTAATTTAATACCTGGCATGTTGCCGTGGTAGCTAATCGGACTGCCTCTCTGTAACCTGCTGTAGCGTGAACACGACAGAGCGTCCGGACGGCCTCTGATTGGCTGTCAGACAGCACACACTTGGTTCTCAGATCAATTGTTAATAATTAGCAAGTATAAAACTGCCATAGAAACAACATGATCGTGTAGCCTCTGTCTGGAACCCCGTGTTCCCAGTTCTCCCAGTAGCTTGCTGGAGTTCACCGTCTGTCTTTGTTCTCAGGTGTGGACAGACGCCAACGCCCACTGCTGGCAAAAACTCGCCCATTCGTTCTGGTGGACGGGCGGAGACGGAGCCTCGAGGAAGCTTTCCGGGTAGGATGAAAATGTCATTTCGAGGTGGTGCTGCTGTTTGGGTGGAGTATCTGTGTTGGTGCAGTGGTCCTGAGCTCACTCTGGTTTCCAGCTGGAACTGGATATTCGGGATGGGTGGGAAACACATTCAAACACACTTCCCTTCCCTATTTGAGAAAACAAAGCTGATTTAACCCGCCCATCTGTTATCGCGGTTACCTGATGCGAGTATTTTGGGCACAACATGAAGGGGGTGAAGCTCTGCCTCCACAAACTGCATGTACGGCAGCGTCATGAGGACAGAGACGGCTGAAAACACAAGAGGAGGAGATTTTAAATCATGTTTTTCACTTTTTCAATATTCACCAGTCCTCATTTGTAATATTTTTTCTGTTGTCAAACATCAAATCATGAAGTCTTTGTGTTGCCCGGCACTAGATTATCTCCAGCAGACGTGGCCGGGCTGTGGGGGTGGAAGTGTCAGCACAGATTGTGTGTTTCCACACTGACGTTACTTGGACAGGTTACAGGGTCCTTCCTGCACACAGAAATCATCTGCACAAACACAACATGTTGTTCTTCAGGTGATGATACAACACAAATGAGATCCTTCAGCTAGGCTAATGCTGCCTGATTGCCTTTCTCTGTGCGTGGACTTACATGTGCAGTCCTCCCACAGAGATCCACTCTGAGCCAGAAAAATGATATTTGCACGTTTTTGAATGTTACTGTCCTTCTGAGAGGCCGATGCTGTCCACAGTCAGTTCCCACAGAGACAATCTTAGGTGAGCATTGTCCAACTCCACCATCGTGGACTTCAGCCAGCGACCGTAGACCTTCCTGCTAATCGTAGGTTCAGACCAGAATCTGCACTAAGCTCACTGAGACTGAAGTCCACTGTGGAGTGCATCAGCAGGCCACGAGACTCCTCTGAGAAACAGCTGATTGCAGTAATCATTGAATGGTAAATGGCCTGCATTTGTACAGCGCTTTTCTAGTCCATAGGAACCCAAAGCGCTTTACACTACATTCAGTCATTCACCCATTCACACACACATTCACACACTGGCGATAGCAGCTATTGAAGACTCTGGAGAAGTCTCCATTTATGGAGGACACGCTACATGTTAGCCAGGCTTTGTTTGACTGCGTCTTCATCCAGCGAGTGTGGGAGCAGTGAGCAAAGTCGTGACTCTTGCTTGGACTGTGTCTGTGTTCGATGGATACACTGACGCGCTGCACACGCGTCTGAGATGCTGTTGGATGATTCACGTTAGCTAACAGTCGCAGGTGTTTGTGAGGAGGCTGTTTCTTTGTGGTGTCGTTTGTAAAGAAGGTATCGTTTACAGTGACGGTGAGAAAAGCGTGTGTAGCTTTATTGATAATGCTGGATAAAGTTCGTTTGACCTGAACGGAAACCCTCAAACTTGAGCGCTCCACAAAGACTGACGGCAGAGCTGCGGAGTTTATTCTGCAGACGAGCAGCAGGAATCGGCGGCTTTACCTTCTCTGTCTCAGTTTCAGTCCAACTTCTGAGACGTTGTGACTGTTTGAGAGAGGAAGGAAGCCGCAGCGTTGATGGTTTTCACCAGAAGCTTCCTGTAGGCACGCTGAGACCTGACTGCAGGAGGGAAGAAGGGGAAGTTGGGGAAAGAGCGTTGTTAGAGGATGGACACTTCCTGCGCTGCTGAGAGAAGCTCTGAAATCATTTCCTGTAGAAACCCCCACCCATCCCAACCCCACCCAACCAGGAGCGAACGTGGAGTTTAGGAAGAGAGAGTAGGAGAGCGGGGCTGAAGGACCCCAGACCATCAGCTCTGACCAGCAAAACCATCACCGGTGGTGCTCTGCCCATAGCTCCCCATGGCAACAGTCTTAAGTTGCTTCGTGCTGCAAGCTGACGACCTTACAGCTGTGATCTCCAGTGATCCGATGGTCCCATATAAGCTGCATATGGTGATGGTGGGGAGGAAGAACTTCCATTTAACATGGCTCAGGGCCACCTGATCCATCCGTTCACAAAGTAGCCACAGACCGTTCCCACCCGGCTCCCCCACCGTCAGCCTTCCTCTGAGGGAGGATCTTTTCAGCAGATGTTGCAACATCGTGGATGTCGTGTAACGCAGTCGCAGCTGTGGCTCGGAGAACATCAAACACCGGTGGGATCAGTCCTGCTTTCCTTCACGTGAGCCGTTCTTCGGCTTTCACAGAACTGGAACAAAGTTCATCTCTGGCCTTCTTGTTTGTGTTTGGCTGTCGTTGGCGGCGCCTGACGTCGTGCTTCCCCTGTGATCCTGACACGCGACGTAAACCAGGCCTCAGCTCTCTCCCTGTTGTTGCTGTTTCACTCCTCCTTGTTTTTCGGCCTTTCTTCCTGCTCTGTTGTGGTCGGCAGCTCTCGGCCTCGCCCAGAGTTTCTGCAGCTCTGACATCATCTGGAGGCCGGGCGAGAGACATGACCTCACTGCATGGAGAGCGAGTTTTAGGGGCGAAGAGGGAGAAACCTGTCAAGAAGGGAGGGTGGTAACAGATGGTGAGAGTGGGCGAGAGAGGCTGAAAAACACAGCGAGGGGAGGATGAGGTTATAATTAGGTTTGTGGAACAGAAATGTACTTTCAATAAAAACCTTAGAAACAATCACAACAGTGAAAGAAAAAAGTGATGCAATGAACTTTTCCTGAAGTATTAAAACACATGTATGTGCTCAGACACACGAGGAGGGCTGATTATCAGCAGGCTGAGAGGGCGGGCACAGCTGTACGTGTCACCGGGCCGCGTTTCAGGAGTTTGCAGGCCTCCCCTTAAATGCCCTGTAAGTTAGTCTGTAGGAACATCATCATTGCACTGTGTGGAAATGAGGCTACATATAGCATATATTCAGGTGACTGCCTCTCGCTTATGTCTGCAGATAGCAAGACGTCAGGTTTCTTAAGCAAGAGGACCAGAGCTGTCTCACCGGAGTGTCCGACGGGGTCCAGTCCATTCATTAATGTTTCCATATTTTCAGTGAATTGCACTGCTGTTATATGAAGAACTCCGTGATCTCTGACTGTTATGTTCCTTTGTGTAACTCGCACTTGTTTCTGGCTGAAAGCTCGGAGTGAGTCGAGCTGATGGAGGAGTGATGGTGAGGGCAGACTGAGCGTGGCTCAAAGTGCTGAATGAGCTGAAGGTGAGCGGCTGAGCCGACAGGCGACGGTGAATCTAAGCACGGGAGAATCCAATTAGCATCGAGGGGGGAAAAAAACACAGAGCAAATTTAGCAGAACCAATCACAAAGGTCTTAGCGTCTCAGCGACGCCCAACGACCTGGCAGAGGAGAAGCGAGCCGAGGTCGATGACCTGCAGGGGACGACCTTGTGAACCTCAGCTGTGCAGGCTGATGGGAGTTCAAACACGAGAGAAGGAAGTGGAAGCACGATAGCTTCAACTCACAAATGCAGAGAGACTGCAGGACACAAAGGGAACCAAGTGAGACAAGGAGACGCATCCAGGACCAAAATCACAGAAATTCCATTCAATTTTATTCATATAGCACCAAATCACAACAACAGTGGCCTCAAGGCGCTTTTTACTGTAAGGTCGACCCTACAATAATACATACAGAGAAAAACCCAACAATCATATGACCCCCTATGAACAAGCACTTGGGCGACAGTGGGAAGGAAAAACTCCCTTTTAACAGGAAGAAACCTCCGGCAGAACCAGGCTCAGGGAGGGGCGGAGCCATCTGCTGTGATTGGTTGGGGTGGGAGAAGGAAGACAGGATAAAGACATGCTGTGGAAGAGAGACAGAGGTTAATAACAGATATGATTCAATGCAGAGAGGTCTGTTAATACATAGTGAGTGAAGAAGAGAAACTCAGTGCATCACGGGAATCCCCGGCAGCCTATGTCTATTGCAGCATAACTAAGGGAGGATTCAGGGTCACCTGGTCCAGCCCTAACTATATGCTTTAGCAAAAAGGAAAGTTTTAAGCCTAATCTTAAAAGTAGAGATAGTGTCTGTCTCCTGAATCCAAACTGGAAGCTGGTTCCACAGAAGAGGGGCCTGAAAACTGAAGGCTCTGCCTCCCATTCTACTTTTAAATACTCTAGGAACAACAAGTAGGCCTGCAGAGCGAGAGCCAAGTGCTCTGATAGGGTGATATGGTACTACAAGGTCATTAAGATAAGATGGGGCCTGATTATTTAAGACCTTGTATGTGAGGAGCAGGATTTTGAATCCTGGATTTAACAGGAAGCCAAAACAGGAGAAATCTCTCTTTCTAGTCCCTGTCAGGACTCTTGCTGCAGCATTTTGGATCAGCTGAAGGCTTTTCAGGGAGTTTTTAGGACTTCCTGATAATAATGAAGTGTCCAGTTTTATTGTTTGCAGTACTTAACCATAGTTCCTAAATCTATGATTATTAAACGATTCACAAATAAGAAAGTCGTTTATTTCAGATCAAAATCAGGATTTTCCAGCCGGGTGGAGCTCCTGAACCACAGCACTGTGGAGTTTCTGATTTGGCTTAAAAAGCAGAGTTCCTGCAGTGGAGCTAATTACGTTTTGTGTTTCACTCTGATTTGATTAGCGATAAATTAAGCCGACTCAAAAACGACCCAGCAGCGACGCCGCCGACGGCGTTCTCCGCCCAGAGTTTGTCTCTGCAGTTCTAAATACTGACGTCAGTCTATGAACCATCTTACATCTATAATGCATTTGTTGCTTTAATAATTCTTGTTCTTCAGATTAAGAGCTACAATAACACGCTCGCCACTTTTAGTAACATGAACAGTAACATCTGTTCCAGCTGCTTCGTCTGCTTTCACGGAATTATTTGGACCGTTTGGGGAAAAAAAAAATGCACACGAGAGCAACTCGAGTCACGCCTGTTTCTTTTAGCGGTGAAAGAAAATCTTTGTACATCAGCTGCGTGCTCTAGAAATGAACCTAAAGGGGGCGCTGTCATGCTCGTCTGGAGGAACCAATCAGAGGTCTGAACAGCTGCATGTTTCCAGCTCGCAGAGTTTAGTGTGTCGCTGATTCAGTTTCCTCTGCGCTGCCTCTCAGAGTCGGACCCTCCCAGCTGCAACGATCATGACTCAGCCAACACACACACACACACACACACACACACACACACACACACACACACACACACACACACACACACACACACATCCTGCTGCACAATAATCTGACCCCACCACAGTACAAAGTTCAGAGAGGGTGGGGAAACAAGCACGCCTCAGAGGGGAATTCTGTTCACTTTTAAAGGAGAACTTCACCCAAAATCTCCCCTTCAAACCCTGCAGGACTGCAGCCCATGATGTGAGGAATACGTGTTGTTGTTTAGTATCACCACTAAAACGAAAGATCCGAACGGAGCGAGGGCGGTCCAGGCCACATGTTAGTCCAGCTTTCCAGAAAAACAAAACTGAAGGTTATTAATCATCGAGTGGGAGGAGAGCAGAGATGCTCACGCTGACTATTCATGAGTCAGCTGTGAGTTGTAAAGCTGCTTTTTTTTTCTTGTAAACTGTAAGTGTAACAAAATGAAAGATGTTCAAAGTTTGACTGTGTGCTGTGAGACCAGAGCTGTGTGAAGGTCCCACAGTTGCCCCAGTGTGACGTGATATGATCCAGAAATCAACATAACCCCAGATTATATTAAGAACTGCACATTTCCACGATCGCAGCGCGGCAGCGGCCTGGAGCGGCTCCGTGCTGCGTTCAGGAACCGTAAATGCACCTGGGACAGGAAAGAGAGCAGAGCTGTGTCTGCAGCTTTAAACAAACACTTTTGCTGCCGCCTCTGCATTGGACTCGCTGTGGGTGGGGCTACAGGCAGCCCCGCCCACACACAGTGATGGGGAACCAGGTGAGGCAAAGATCAGGCGTTACTCTGGGCTAGCCGGTGATTCTACCTGGAGAGAGAGAACGGAGGAGTCCATGTGGAAATTCAAAGAAGAGCTTCACAGTCGTGCTGAGGAAACGCGAACACGACCATCCAGATGTTCATTTAGTTTAAAGACAGCAAAAAGTTCTGTGGTTTACTGATTTGATTTGATATAGATCAGCGGTCCCCACCCTTTGTTGCCCCACGGACGGTTTAATGTCAGGCAGTATTTTCACAGACCGGCCTTTAGGATGTCGCGGATAAATAAACACAAAGTAAAACGACACGGCCGAGACAAAAACGGTGGTAAATATAATAATGAACGGGAATTCACTGTGTAAGTGTGTAACTTTATTAGCAGCGTCCTCCTGAAATGCCACGACAACAATGAGAGTGACATCCTCCTCTCTGCCCCTTAATGCTCTCAGGTCGCTATGGTAACGTGTAAATATCCCTTTCAAAATAAGACACAACTACAACGCGGGAAAAGACCCGGGGAAACAGTTAACGATAAAAACCCTGAAAACCATAAATTTCACACCCGAGCCTCAGCTCTCGTGGCCCGGCACCCAACGACTCACGGACCGGTCCGGGGCCCGGGGGTTGGGGACCGCTGATATGACACAAGAAAGAGCTCTGGTAAACTTGGGATACACCATGAACATCGTCCCGGCCGGCACTGCCGGGACGATGTTTTAACAAAGGAAACTTAAATCCCGTTTTGCATTGCAGTGAGAAAAGTGTAGAAGCCCAGTGCACAACATCTGGCTGATGTCAGAAACATGTGGATGGAGGGGATTTCAAAGCATGTGTCAGGTGGCTCTAACAGGACGTCCAGCTCTAGCTCCGACACAGTCGCTGAGCCTCGGTGCGCAGCGAAGGTTTATGAGGAAAAGCAGGGCGTCATCAGCCACAGGAACGGCCACGTGGCTGCTCCCCATGACGGGGGTTTCACAGGAACACTGCTGCTACACCCAGTAACACACACTCCTACACTTCCTCCAGAGCTGAGAGGAGAAAGCCGCTGGACAGGAAGTGCCTGCACTTCAGAGAGAAGCTCCATTAAGACAGGAAGGTGTATTGATTAGATGGCGGATGTACTCTGCACCGCCACATCCTAAAGGAGCAGAAGAAAGGAAGTCACCGGAATGAAGTAAAAATGGTGGAAGCGGAACAATGAGAGTGGGAGTGGGCTCGCTGAGTTATGAGAGTTGGTGCTTTTAATTCAGGGTATGAAATGATGATGATGATGAAGTTGAGCAGTAAGTGCGTTTAATAATAAAATCCAGATGATGATTGGTTCAGGCACACATAGGCCCTCTGTGGTACCTGGAAAAGTTCAGACAGCTGTTAGAGCTGCAGGTGACTGGATATAGAGCAATGAGGAAGCTCCGCCCCTCCACAGCTCTGTTAGTTTCTGTTATCTTAGCCAATCATTTATGCCCCTGTTGTTTACCTCCACAGGTGCCCTCAGCAGTAATTTGAATGTGCAAATCCGTCTCGTTAGCCTCGGGTATTTGTGCCGTTTGGACGCGCTCCATCCTGTTCTTTTCTTTCCTGCCTCCAGAGTTTAATCGGCTCAGTAAATGAAGGAACTGTTCTTCCTGTGTTCCCAGGATGGCCACCCTGACAGGCTGCAGTGTGGGCTGGAGGTGGGAGGAAGACTCTTCCTGCTGGAGCTGGAGAAGAACCAGTGAGTCTGAGCGGCGTGACATTAAACACCACATGTACCGAACCTCCTGTGACGTTAATCTGAGCTGATATAAATAAAGATGTCGCAGCCGTCACTGCGGATCGTGTCGGATTGAGGAGACATTTTTAATTTTATCGCTGCTGTTTGATTCTGAATTCTTTCTCAGTCGTCGTCGTCGCGTACACTCGCCGTTTCTGACTCGATCACTTCCTGTTGACGTTAGTTTACAGCTGATATGTGGGGGATAGTCAGAGACTTTATTCTGAGCCCCTCCCAACTATCAGCTGTCCTTTGGTGTTGTAATATTTAACTGTTTTGGGAAGCCGTGCTCTGACACCAGCCTGGCACATCGCAGGTTGTTTGAGAGGCCGTAACGCGAGGGCGCGTCGCATCACTCGTTTGAATGTGATTCTGTTAATGCTGCTGTTTGATTCTCGCCGTCTCTCACACACTTTGATCTTTGTCGTGTCTCTTTAGCGACCTGCTGCCCAAACCGCCAAACGTCTTCTACTACCTCCCCAACGGTACCGGAGTGTCTGTAATGGCCAACCCTGTGGTGAGTCAGCGAACGCACCGCAGCCGTCAGACCTTCCCCGTGGAGTCGTCCAGCTGTGACAGATGCTGTTGTGTTTATGTCGCCTGCAGACTCACTGTTATTACCACGGCAGCGTCAGAGGATTCCCCCAGTCCAGAGTGGCTCTGAGCACCTGCTCGGGACTCCGGTCAGTACCCGCCCCCAACAGGAAGGACAACCTTTCAGGCCCATCACAGCGCCCCTCGCTCTCAGCTGGAGGCTTATTTGTGGTTCAGAGTTTCTAAAAGTCGAGCGTTCGGCCCTTCTTCCGTGAATCCTCGGCTTGGTTTCAGGACACAGACGTCCTCTGCTTTCAACTTTAGCTTTGAAACTTTCCTCTTTGGGCTGGATCAGGTGACCCTGAATCCTCCTTTCCTCTGAAAAACTAAGAGCAAGACACAACAAACTAAAGCTGAGAGAAGATAAACCTTTACATGCCACAGAGAGTGGAGGAGAACGCCCCACTGCATCCTGGGACGCCTGCAGGAGAGTTCAGGGTCACCTGTACTGAGTTTAAGGTGGAGACAGCTGTTAGAGGTTCCTGTACGTATTAAATACAGACACTATAAAAATACAGTAATTTCAGTGTGAGAGAGGAAGGAAGAAGAAAAGAGTTTCTGTGCTTAAACGCTCGAACGGACGTGAAGCCTGACAAACGGAGACGCACGGTTCAGGAGGAAGTCGTCGTGTTTAGACAGCGCTGGTTTCCAAACGCTCATCCTGTTCTGCAAAAACAGAAGCTGCAGATTTCTGCTGACGGGTCGAAGCTGAGTGTCAGGCAGGCAGCTGCTCTCTGAAATATGAATATTTATCGCTGACAGCTGTCTGTGTTTAGACTGACAGATGTTCACGTTCAGTCGGTGGGATTCACTGCTGCGTCACGTCAAAAACCAAAAACATGTCAGAAAGCTCCTTAAACCTAAAAACCTCCAATCTGCTCAGTCCAGGACTCGATGTTTCAGGTCTTTGTGTTTAAGGCAGTGTTCTTGGCAGAAAACCCGAGTGAAGCGTCAGCGTTCCAGAGCCGGCCGAACTGATCCGGATCAACGGCCTCTGACCTGACACAGAAAACGTTCGAGCTGCAGGACGATTATCAGGTTTATTTATCAGCACGTGAAGAGAGAGGGTCCGGCCCCGAGAGTAATCGCTGAGCTCAGATTATACACAAGCTGTATTAACCTTTATTCATCAGGTTGGATTACTGAGAACGTAAAAACAAAGATTTTCTGTGCAGCTCGGCGAGCTCTGTGGTGGTTTCCTGCAGCCTGTAGGTCGCCGTGAAAAGAACCGAGTCTGGTTTGTGAAATGAATCGCGAATTTATTTTCTAACTGCACAAAAAAACCGGAGTCATCATTTCCCTCGATATGATTTCATAACTGCACGCCCATCCTACTTCCTGTGACGTCAGCATCATGATAACAAATCAATAAAAACCAGTTTTATTCTGTGTTTTATTGTTATGTGATAGAAATATTTACGGTGGAGCTCTGAGGTCAAAGGTAAACACTCGTGTGTGTGTGTGTGTGTGTGTGTGTGTGTGCTTAGAAATATGAATAGGACCCCTGTTAATCAGCTGCTTCCTCCTGCAGTGGCATCGTCGCCCTGAACGCCACCCTGAGCTTTGAGCTGCAGCCACAGGAGGAACACCACCATCACCACCACCAGGCGAGGGAGGAAGAGGAGGAGGAGGAGGGTGCAGGAGGGGAGAGTGGAGGAGGAGGCAGAAATGGAGGTAGTGGAGGAGGAGGTGATGACGATGAAGGAGGAGTCCACCTGCTGTTCTCCACCACCCCCCTGGAGGATGACGCTGCAGGAGGCTGTGGAGTGTCGCACACCGCCGTCCCCCCCATCCACAGCTCCACACACACACACAGGGTGAGACAGGCCGCCATGTTTTTATAGAGAGAGCTGAGTTATAGTCTGCACAGTCAGGAAGTGCTTACAAGGAATATGTTACAGGTGTTTGCAAAGGTAAGGCTTAGGGCCCCCAGGAGGTCAGATCTGGAGAGGCTCTGGCCCACAGTCAGTGACAGGAGCCACGCCCCCACGGACATGGAGGGTGAAGTGATGCAGTGCTGTGCTCACAGATCTCACACACCTGAAACAATCCGAGTGTTTAAGTGTTCCAGTATTTCACCTGCAGTCAAACAGGAAGTGAAGCCGTTCCTCTCCCCAGACTTTGTTCAACAAAGCAGGAATTTTAAAGAGTTTTAAGATGTTAGATGACGTGTTAAAGTCAGATCAGCAGTTCCTGTTTTATGTGAGTAAAACTCGCCTCACAGAGAAGGCGACTCTCTTTAAGGTGAGCGAGTCTGGAGGCTTCAAACTGTAGGTCAGCCCTCGTGCAGCAGCTGTTGACGGGGTCGTTAAACTGCAGAAGTTTGATAAACTACAAATACGTCAAACTTTTACTCCCAT